AATAGTAATATTAAACAAAGACACAGTTTAAATGATTCACTTTTAACTATAAACATAAACTAAACTAATATTTATTGTGACAAAAATAAAACAATTCTGAATTTGTTGTCAAAAGTCCAATATGACGCAATAAGTCATTGCATGATAGTATCAAATAATGTGAGATTGAATTCAAATGTTCTTTAATTATTTACTCATGTATCTTCATAAAATATTAACTGCGTTAACAAATAATTCCTTTTGTACAATACACTACGAGTAATGAATAGCAATATTCGAAATTCTGGTAAATTTACACTGATTTTTCAGACTTATCAGACAGATTACCTACTTACCTGATTTTTCCTGTATGTTTGAGCACACACTTAAATCCAATGAATGAATGAAACAGGAAGTATTCCAATACTGAAATCTGCGTTCTAATAACGTTTATAACCTCCCTTTTGGAGATCTGTTCAAAGATAATTCAATGTCTACAATATTACTACACTCCTGAACACAACTCATACTCTTATTAAGGTACAGATATACTATTCGGTCCATATGTATGGAATAAACTCATTTTTAGCGTTATTAAGTACTATGTGAAACAAGCTGAAACAGGTCGATTTTTATCCTTAAATTGACAATTTACAGTATAAAAATATTATCACGTCCAGCACCCCTTTAAAGTATAAGCCTCCTCCTCCTCAGTCCTATCACTTTTGGGATGTGGTGACACCATCAGGCCTTCACAGTTTTTTTACCCTCCATCCCTCCATCCTTCTCTGTCCTGGGCTAGTTGTTCGGCTTCATGTAACCCTTGGTTAATCAATATTTTTGTTTAATCTACCTAACGGCTTGGAGATCTTCCCTTAGGTCTCTTTTCTTCAACTTTATCCTCGACTATCAGTTTTTCCATCGTGCCTATTCCAAATATCTCTGTTGTATTTGTTTAAGCAATCTATCCTTTACTTTAAGTTGTTCTAATATCGATACGTTAGTGCGATGATAAATCCAGGATATTTTCAACATGCGGCGGTATACCCACATTTCAAAAGCGTCCAGTTTATTTTTATCCGGTTTCTTTAAGGTCCACGTTTCGGCTGCATTTGTGGCTATAGGAAAAATGAGCGCCCTTAACAGCCTTAGTTGTGTGTGTATTGTTATGCTAGAATTTTTCAAATTGTGATCAGATGGAACATCGGCAACAGGAAAAGTTTTTACAGACTTTACTGCATTTCTGTAACGCTCGCTGATAGTTATGTGTGAATTTGGTTTCTGACGATATTACGGGGAGTGTCCGCTGGAGATTTCCATGTATATAATCTCCGTTTAGGTAGTTTGAAAAAGGTGTTCATTATATATAGGTTATGTTCTTTGCAAAAATCTGCGAAATAAGCTCCTCTTTTATTTCTATCGCCCAGTCCATAACATCCAATAATGTTAGTTTGTCTGCTTTTTCCTATCTTAGCATTAAGGTCACCCATCAGAATGGTAAGATCTCTAGTCTTGAGTTGGTCCGTAACAGTCTTTACATTTGCGTAGAACTTTTCAAGTTCGTCTAGCTCACTTTCCGCTGTCGGTGCATACACTTGTATTAAATTTATATTTCTGGGTTTCGCGTTCAACTGAATTATTATGACCCATTCAGATGTATACCTATCATTGTAATTAGAAAAACAAAAAAATATATATATTGAAAGTGAATTATAAAAACTTGTTATTCAAACATAAACAAACAAAGTTAGGTTAGAATCGACGTGTGAGGTTCTCCGATACTGATTACTAGATTAACGCAAGGTCGAGATAATCAACCACAAAAGATGTATTTATTGACTTTTCTAGTAACTTTCTTGGGTGTGAATATCTTTTACGTTTACTCCTCCTGGTTAAAAAACAAACCATAGTAAATGTCGAACTATGTAGCAGTGTTTCGCGAATAAAATACGGTGAGCATTCACGGGTTAATGGGTCATTTGACCCAGCATGAATCACATATATAACAGTACTACAATATCTAATAACAACTTTCGAAACTATCTCGCCAATTCTTATCGCTTAATGTGTCACAAGTTAGCTTACCATTCAAAGTGGTAAGCTGACAAAGTGGTAAGCTGGCAAAGTTTTTTTTTTGGCCAAACATGTAGGTAATACAAAAATAATCACCTGCGATCTAATGTGTACAAAAATATTGTTAACAGGAGTAGGGAAAATGTTTTATTTTCGAAATACTTTTTCCCCATTTTCGATAATTTGATACAGTTCGGCATTCATACAAAAACTGTTAAATCGGTATATAAGTAGATTAATTTTTTTGCAACGCAGTACATTTTGGCTGGGACAGGGATATGAAGTATAAAGCACAACCCGTAAGTTGAACCTCCATGCTTTGTGTACCGATAAGAATTGGCGGTATAGTTTCTACAGTTGTTATTACATATTGTAGTATCATGTTATCTGATTCATGCTGGGTCAAATGGTACGTTAAAAATGTTCCATAGGCTTGTAATCTAGTAGTTTATATTTGAGGCTATGATAGCAAGAGTGGGCTAAGCAACATTTTGTTGAGAATTGAGTTATAAATTGCAATCACTTCTAACGACCTAAAGTTTTAAAGCAAAACCGGTCTAACCAACATTTCCGTATATTATAATGTAGCGTGTGCAATTCCTTGATTTTTTTGGTGTATATTGGAAACCCCTTGTATATGTAATATATTGAAATTCCCTCATATATGTTTAAAAAATCGAAGAGTATTTTAATGCATTTCAGTTTCCTATTCGTACGTATTAAAACCCAAATATGTTTTCAATTCCTTCTTAATATATTTATTTTTTAATCTTAATATATTTTTTATTATATTCTCGAGCCGTCGGCTCGAGAATATAAACCATTTAATAGTTTGTTTATATTTTACAGATGTTATTTCTTCGGTATTTCTTTTAATGTTTTATTCGAACTGCTTGAATTGCGTTTTCTCATAAAGGATTTGCGTTTCAACCATTTTTAAGTGTTTTGTTATTTTAAGTTATGCGATCAATTTTTGAGGATAATTTCATTACTCTCGGTAAAACTGCTGTTAAAAGCGTTTATAGTTTTATTGAAGTCCGAATTTTTCTTCAAATTCGTAATGTTTTTTCGTTTTTTGTCTATTGTCATGGGAAAATGTGTAGTGTGGTGACAGCTAAGAGCTCGGCGTGTAATCTTTAGAAAGCTGACAGATCTTGTTTGTGGAAAGTTATATGTATTGTATTATGTCCTAAATGGAAGATTTGTAAGGTGTTACAACGATACAAAAGGCCATCGTATTTTTAATGAAGTTTTGAAAAGCCAAGCTTAGAAGATTGCAATTTTTTTAACCCGAAGCCCGATGATCCAGCCCAACTTCAACTTCCTTCTTCTATTTGTTTGTCCCTGGTCATTCCAGACTATTTTGAAGTTTGTGAGACGCATTTGAGTTATTTTGCAGTGTTTAGAGAACCAGTTTCAGCCCCAAAACCTTTAAAGGAGATATAATGTTTAGTAAAATCAGGTATTTTTTTTGTTAATTTTTTTTTGTAAAAATAGACATTTTTCATCAATAATTGCTTTCATGACAATTTAAAAAATTGTAATAAGTAAAATTATAAAAATCAGGGATTAGCTAACTGTCATAATAATTATTCTTATACATATAACTAACCATAAATTTTGAATTTGTATTGTTTTGTTTTAAAAATGTTCACCTTATTGTAAACTGCATTGAAAGATCTAGATGATTTCAATTTATTAATACCTAATGTAAGTTCTTATAGTGTCCCCACCGTCTAGAGTTGTAGACCGATAGCAACATTGTTTTGTTATTATTATTTGTTTTGTAACTGTTTGTAGTATGAAGTAAAAATAAATGTTAAATTTTGTTTTCTTAACATTTTGTTTATTTTTTTTAACTAACCCCATTTTTGAGTTTTATCTGAAAAAGATATGTTTTGATTTTTTTATAATTATTTCTCTAGTTACAACTAGTGGTTGTAATAGGTATAATTAGGCACCTCAAAGTGGCGCCCTATATTAAATTACTAGAGGTGATTCCTGTATATTTTTATTTTGTTTGTCCCAAGAGATTATGTTAGTACCCCTTTTGTTTCTTTTTTCTGTAGTTGCCCCAATCCAGCCCCCTTATCTTTTGCTTGTACACGACACCAGTTCTCCTAAAAAACCCTGAGTGCCGTTCGCACAAGTAGCGATTATTTTGCCTGCCTTATCTCCAGCCCCTTAGTTTCAGTCCCCAATTTTCTATCCCTTGTATTAATAACCCATGTGGTAGGCAAAATATCTACGTCACAATAACATAAATCTGTCCAGTAAGGTAATTTTGCATTAAAGAAAATAGCAAAAATTTGAAAACACGAATGAGTTAACCCACGAAGTTGTGGAATAAACCAAAATTGTTCAATACATAAATACGTAAAAGAATGCAAGAGTGGGCTAACCATCCTCTTTGTAGGATAGACCGGTTTTTAGGAATCCTTTATAACTTTGACAAAGGAGAACATACGTAATCCTGTCTCATTCCACATATTTCGAAAAATATTTAATACCCAATTTAATAATTGATTCCATGCACCAATTACGGATTCGTGCAAAAAATGTGATGTGTATAACAATAAAATAAAGTTCTCAACAGTTCAAGCAAAAAAACGTGAATTTGAAGTAACACTAGAGGTTCACCAACGAAAAACAGACCGTGCTAAATGTGGTATGAAACAAGATGCAGAGTATGCAAAACAAAATCCTGAAGACATTACACTGTTTGCATTTGACTTGATGAGAACGTTGCCCACACCAGTTATCAGCACTGGAATTTCTTACTATAAACGCCAGTTGTTAAAACAAAAAATGTAATACTATATTCCGATCAATGCAGAAGGCAGAACCGTAGCATTAAAATGGCTGTTCTTTGCGATTTTATTGTGTCACATTCTGATATTGTGGTGGAAAATATTGATCATACGTTTTTAGTTAGCGGAAATTCTTACCTTGCCTGTAACCAAGATTTCGGAGTAAGCAAACATTTTTTTAAAGAGATCTACGTACCTGACGACTGGATAAAGATAATAGTACATACACGAAAGAAAGCACATTTTAAGGTAATAAAGATGACAGAAAACGATTTTTATACTACTAAGAAGTTAGTTAGAAAGAAATATAACAAATCGCAAACTTGATACACAAAAATCAAAAGTCCAATGGTTACAGATTCAGTGGTGGCAATACAAGAAAACAAACCCATTTACAATTTACTACAAATACAGCAATAATGCAGTCTTTTTTTACTCAGTAGATGTCAAAAAGAGGACATCCAGGGGAATACTTTAGCTAGATTATCTTTATCCCGATGGAAGCCCAATAACCGAAGCAAAAAAGGGTCAATTGGAATTACTTTCATTTATATTGTTACAAAATGAGTCATATTAAAATAAAACCTGTAGTTGTGTTGTTTACTTAATATTATGTTCTAGATTTGACGATCGAAATCTACCTGACGCATCAATGGGTCACCCTTCATTCTCCGACGAGTCAAACTTTCGAGGCTGCTATAAAAAACCCAGTCTGACCGCACGGCGATCGGGTTTATTCCGGAAGGTGACTACCCGCTTCTAGATAACGGTATTTGGATATTAATACATAGAAATTTTATGTAAGGAGTTAGTCAATGAAGAAAAGAAGATCGCGATATATCGGGTTTTTAAATTGTATCGAACGCAACATAAATAGTTGTAAAGTTAATTAATAAATTAGTAATTAGTTATCGTGAGTTTTAATAAATTAGAATATAGACAATAAATTAGAATAAAGAACTATAAATTAGGACTAATAAAAACACTACAATATCTCCAATACATCATCGATTTTACACAAGTACCAGAACAATAAGATCCACTATACAGCAAGAAGAAGAGTTGATTAACGATGAAGATTAAGTATGTTTGTTACTTTGTTATTTAATAAAGCATATTTTCAACATTGATATTGTTTAATTGTATTGTACTCCAGGTCTAATCCACATTCATATTAAAATTTTTAAGGGTACACTGATGCAAAAGCGGTTTAATCCACCAAAAAGCTTAAATTTTTATATTTTTGTTAAATGTACTGCAAGATCTTCGAGTTTTTTGATATTAGTTAATGATTTGTAAACAATGACTACCTTTTGGCATCATATTTTAATTTTATAAAATTTCAAAAAAACGCAAAGGTATATTCTTGCTTCATGTAAATCCATCATTTAATATTTGGTGTTAGCCCACTCTTGCTCTCATAGCCTCATTTAGCGTATCCAGTAAAAAATCTTTAGATATGACTAATAGTTTATTGTTTAGGTCGTTATTGGGTAGTTGATATTGTTTAAACCCATCCATTAGAATAATTACCAAGTAAATTAATAGCAATTCGTGTATTAAATACTATTTATTTTCATTTAGGTACATATTTTATAGTAATACCAAGTGTAAAGGTGCAGGATAAGTTATAAATTACTTATAAAAATTTAGAATGAAGATTTACTCCTCCAGAGTAAATGGATATTCGGGATTATCCTTTAATTCTTCAGCATGGCAGACTCTAATATTACAGTTGAACTCATCAATAACAGCCATTTCTTTATCTGTTAATTTAAAGTTAAAGATGTCAATATTTTGCTTAAGTCTATTAACATTAGAAGATTTCGGAATAGGTATGGTACCCTGCTGATAAACATATCGCAAAACAACTTGAGCACTACTCTTCTTGTATTTGTCGCCAATGGCAATCAATCTTGGATCTTGTAAAGACAGCATTATATCGCCTGGTTTAGCCCACGGCCTTGCAGGCGAACCTAGTGGTGAATATGCCATTATTTCTATTCCACGACTCTTGCAAAAATGAATAAGCTTTTTTTGGTTAAGGAATGGAGTAACCTCAATTTGATTCATAACTGGCTTTATAGTACATACATCTAATATTCTCTGCACTTGTTTTGAATTAAAATTTGACAAACCAATGCTCTTAGCCAGACCAAGTCGGACACATTCTTCCATTCCTTTCCAGGTCTTACAAAAATCATATTCTATATTTTCGGAATCTTTAAATGGGAGTTGAATGTTAAAATCTTTGTTCTTGGTGGCGCAAGGCCAGTGTATCAAATACAAATCAACGTACTCAAGCCCAAAATTCTTTAATGATTCTTTGCATGCTGGAACTACTTTTTCTTCTTCGTGAAAAATATTCCACAATTTTGTCACAACAAACAAATCTTCTCTTTTAACAGTTTTATCTTGAATTTTTGCTCTTAATCCTTCACCTATTTCTTTTTCGTTTCCATAAAGCCACGCACAATCGAACAGTCGATAGCCAACATCAATCGAGGTTTTTACAGTTTCTTTAACTTCACCAGGAGCGGCCAACCATGTACCAAGGCCAAAGCTTGGACACCGAACTCCATTGTTTAGAGTTATATCAGGTACTGACATTTTATTTATCCTAAAAATAAAATTAGATGTCAAATAAATTAAATAAATCTAAAAATATTGAAGTGTTTGTTTTTCGTAGATATAAATAGAAAACCAGTTGAATATTAAACAGTAAGTAAAACTGAAAATTTATTTTCTGTTACCATATTTTGGACTAAGATTAATGTAATAAAGTGAAATTTATCGTGAATGATTTATATACTGCTGGCCAAAAAATGCAATACAATGCAAAAATGAAGCAATAAATAACAATAAAAGTCATTTTAAGTAGTTAATTGGTGACTTTAATGCCAACGTGAGAAAGAGAAACGACAAGGAACAAGTCGTGGGAAAGTATTGAGTTGGTAATCAAAATGAGAGGAAAGAAAGACTGGTTCAGTTTGCTTACTACTAAAACATGCCAATTGCAAATACATTCTTTAAGAAAAAATCGAACAGTAAAAGGACTTGGGCAGCACCAAATGGAATCACTACGAGCAAAATTGACTTCACGCTAACCAAGAGTGCTACAATAAAAGACGTTAGTGTAGGGGAGAGTGTTGTACCTTGGGTCAATTTTTAGTTTTTATTTTTTTCTAAATCCTAAAATTATATATTTGCAGAGTTTATCCAATGCATTAGTTACTTTGTCTATTTGGCTACATGCTTTCTATTTATTGACACATTTTAAGCTTAGTAGTTAGTAAAAAAATATATTTTAGCAGGCCCTTACATGTTGACCCAAGGTACAAACTGGTAATGTACCTTGGACCAGCATTGTACCTTGGACCAGCATTATATTGTACCTTGGGTCAGTTATAAAAAAAAATAGAACAAATCTTGAAATGTTTTATTGAATATCTCAAAATAATCAGAACATTATGATTAACTAATGATTAATTTAGTAAATAAAAACTTATTTGACATTATATCCGCTAAATTTAACATTAAATTTCAGGTGCGCATCGTGACGTGCAGTTCCGCTTATTTTGTGCGGTTGTGGAAGTTTACGTACAATATCATTGCGTAAAAAATCATAAGTCTCGGTTGAGTCGTTTATAAACTTATTGGAATCTAGAATTCTACGTAAATATCTAAGTTCATTATTAATTCCACTGTTCAGCATCTCGGCAACATAATAAACAAAAGATTTCTTTCCTGCCACTTTCACTAAAACAAAGTCTCCTTTTTTAATCTCGTTATTTTCAGATAAGTCATATATTTTTTGGTCATTTAATAATTCTTCTTCTCTAGTTACCAAGTCCTCAAATGTACCTCCATCACTTGAACTTGATTCACTATCATAATTAGCAGCTCTCTTTGGCACATTTTGTATATCTTCTGTCGCTATTTGCTTTGTAATTGCCTGCACTTTCTTAAATGATACCGTCTTTCCCTTTTTAAGCGTAGCTATTTCATCTTTCTCTGGAGTGTCGGTAAGTATTCGTGACTTTCCTCTTGCTCTTCCTAACTTCTTTTTGCGAACAGGTGCCTTTGGATAGGGTCGCAACATTTCAGGTGTAATAGAACTTCCTGAAGTTCCTGCTTGACGAATATTTGAGGTTGAAGGAGTAGAGACTTCCATTTCATTAACTGTAGTTTTAGTTTTTTCTCCGTCCTGTTCAACATTGACTTGCTCGCGACTGTTAGTAAGCTGGTTTAAAGGACGATCAGTTACATACGAAGACAGAAACTCATTATCTTTAAAAATGTTTTCATTGACGGGATAGAGACCGCTCACCTCAAATCCCTTCTGGATATTAGATGTAGTAAATGCTTTTGGAAATGCCTTACCTGCAAGTTCGGCTATATCGTAAATCGTAATAGGTTGTCCAGGGTGCATAATCATCCACTCACTACAGGCGGTATTATAGTAAGTTTTCTTCGGTCCAAAAACTGTTCGATCGAGCGGTTGCATTTTGTGGCTGGTGTGGGGATGAAACGTTATCGGTAGAATTCCATTCTTCTTACAGAAATTAATGACACTTACATTTACGTGGCTATCGTGATTATCCAAAAGTAATATAACTGGATTTTCAACTGTTGGTTTCACATGATTTTTAAAGTGTTGTAGGTATTCCAAAAACAATATTTCGTTTGACCAGCCGGACGGATTTGCACCTCCTATAGTTCCAACTGGACAACGTTTTAGCATGTGAGGCTTAAAATTAACCCTCGAAAATATCATCATTGGCGGAATATGATTTCCGATTGCATTTATTGAGGCTATCAAGGTTACATTTTGACCTCGCTCTCCACTTGTCATTTGACCTAATTGTTTTATTCCCTTAGGTCCTACAATTTTTGGTGGTACATGGACAGTCATTAACCCTGTCTCGTCACAATTCCAAATTTTTTCTAGGGAAAAATCTCCACGAGACAAAGCTTCTTTGTAGTTCTTAAAAAAGGAAGATATATTTGTTTTATTGAAGGATGTTGATCTGGCCAAACTTGTAGGTTCTGGTTTACGAAGAGATAAATCTTCATGTCTTCTAAGAAACTGCCTCAGCCAATCAAAGGATTTTTTGGTAACAGACACACCAATTAATTTAAATAAAAGTCAAAATAATGTTAATTCCCAATAAGATTGTACCTTGGTCCAATCCAAGGTACACGACCTACCGGTGACTCAAGGTACACAACGTATTAATTTCAACTGTTTTTTGTTTTCTAACATTAGGTTATGCGTTTAGATAAAAAATACATTCATGATTATCAAGCGTAAATATATATTGTCCATTACAGATAATAATAAAATATATATATTTACATTTGAAGCGGATTTTAACATATAACAAATAGGTAAATAATTTACTTACGATCAAACAAAACACAAAACGCTCTGCAAGTCACCACGCTGCAATTTTTTGATAAGTGTAATTAGATGCCATCTACCGCTGATATTATTAAACCACTAATTCAACCAAATCGAAGAGAAATCTGCAGTGGGTAAGAAAGAAAGTCAACTGACCCGAGGTACAACCCGGTCCGAGGTACAACACTCTCCCCTAATAAATAAATTTCCAACAGTCAACGACCATAAAATAATCAGAGCAAAAATTGTTCTATATCTGAAACTAGAAAGAATAAAATTAATCACGAAACCAAGAGTAACCAGTATAAATATTAACTATCTAAAAAAAATTCAGATCGCTACCAAAGGACAATCGATGAAAGAATGCATGACCAAATCGACAGCTCTTAATTAATGTAAATCATCCTTAATAATGCTAAAGAAATCGGAGGCCCGTAACAACAAAATAAACATGATAAACTGTCTCATAAAACTGAAATAATGCTAAAACCAAGAAGGAAATGAAAGTAAGTAGCAACATATAAAGAATGCAATACACAGAATATTGTGAGAGAATACGGAAAAGTATTAAGGAAGACATAAGAAAAGACAATGAAAGACTGGTGAAAATGCAATCGAAAACAGAAAAACAATAAGAAAACAAGAAAAGCATTAATCATTGGAAAGAAACAAATCGTTGCTCTAAGTGAGAGCGCCCACCAAAGTGGCGTGGCAGTGGCAAGTAGCTAGTAGCACGCGTCTAGCATAATGTAACCAATCCTAACGAATGATTAGAATGAATGACGTTACTGCCTTTTTGATGTAAACTGAATCATTCGTTTTCATTGGTTACATTATGCTAGACGCGTGCTACTAGCTACTTGCTACTGCCACGCCACTTTGGTGGGCGCTCGCCCTAACAAACAAAAACACCAGAATTACAGACATAAATGAAATAACTCGTAACTAAATTCTACAGCGAACTAGAAAATGCCTCTTGCACACTTAAACAAGTAATTAGTAACTAAAAAGATGTGTCAGAAGTCCTTCCGGAATAAGTCGAATCGACAATATTGCAAAAATAAAAAGCAGTAAAGCAGATGAAATAGATGGTGTAAGGGCGAGCGCCCACCAAAGTGGCGTGGCAAGTAGCACGTAGCAAGTAGCACGCGTCTAACATGTTTCTTAAACTGTAACCAATGAGAACGAATGATTAGAATGAACGACGTCACTGTAATTTTGGTGTACGCTGAATCATTCGTTTTCATTGGTTACATTTTAAGTAACATGCTAGACGCGTGCTACTTGCCACTTGCTACGTGCCACGCCACTTTGGTAGGCTCTCTCACTAACAGTGAAACTGTTTAAATACGCTGGCAATAAAACCTGAAACATTAAGTAGGCATATTTACGAACTATCTAATATCGAGATGCATACCGGACCACTGAAATACAGCAAACATAATTCTTATTCATAAGAAAGGTAGCAAAGAGGATATCAAAAACTACAGAGCTATAAGTCTACTACCAATTGTATACAAGATATTCACAAAGATCATCAACAACAGATTAACATTCGCATTAGATGCTGCACAGCCGAGAGAACAAACTGGCTTTAAAAGTAGATTCAGTACCGTAGATCATATTCATAAATTTTGAGAACTAATGAGTAGAGCTAAAGAATATAAAATACCTTTAGCATTAACCTTCATAGATTTTGAGAAGGCTTTCGATTCTATATATCTGAAGGCAGTAATAAAAACTTTAACCAACCAAGGCATTGACAAATCGTACATAGAAACTTGAGCAAATATATATAGACAAGCAAAAGCTAAGGTAAAAATTTGTAAAAATACTCCAGAATTTACCACTACCAGAGGCGTCCGACATGACGACGCAATATCACCAAAGCTCTTCACTGCAACTCTGGAAAATATATTCAGCAAAATGAGCTAGCAGAGCTAAGGAATATCCATTGATGGAGAATACCTCAGCCATCAAGTTTTGCAAACGACATTGTTCTGATTGCTTATAATCCTGCCGAACTACAAGAACTTATAAGCGACCTAAATGCAGCCAGCAATCAAGTTGGCTTAAAAATGAACTTAACAAAAACAAAACCATGTACAACGAGCTATTGGATGTTTAAGATGTACTAATGAACAACACTGCACTTGTAACAATAGACGAGTATGTATACCTGGGACAATTAATACATAAATCTGGCTTCTTACTTC